ATTTAAAATTTGTATCACAGGGAATGGAAATAGAGAACATGTTAAACTTCCGTTTTAGATGTCTTACAAGTTGGGTAGATTTTTTATCTTTAGTTTGGTCAAGGGAAGGCAAAAGGAATGCACATAACTTATCTTTGTTTATTTTTAAACAATTTTAAACATAACTTATCTTGTTTATCTTTAGAGTGGCACCTAACTCATCCTTACAAAACCGACTTGTAAGGTGAAGGGTGTCACTCTATAAACCTTATGTGGGCTCTATCTTTAACAATGTGGGGACTTGGGTTTTTCCCAATACACCCCCTCACGCCCAGCACTATTGGACTTGGTGCGTGGATATAAATGGTAGGTGGCCCAAATTATCGATATGTCGGACTTGATTTTTTCAATAGTACATAACTTAGTTTATTTTTAAACAATTTTTTAGACAGTGAAATTTTTGGAGTATATGTTAGATCCCTTTACATTTGAATATATAAAAAGAAATGAACAAGCATGGCATAAAACCCAAATCAAAGAAAAATAATGGATAGTTTTTTAATGGATGTGGATAAAAGAAAAAAGACTACAAAAAAATTCATGTGATTTCTTACATGAAACACCTTCATCAGTGATATCCGCCATCTTGCAAGAGTGAGACATTATCTTAACAGTAAGTTTGTCCATTATTAGTACCTGCAGGCAAGCAACCCATGAACAAAGACAAGATTGTAAAAAATAGAAGTACCATGCTCTTGAAGTTATGACTTATAGATAAAAGAAGGAGAAGAGAAATAGTAAGGCCTTCGAATATGATAATGGTGTAATATTCTTGATAATGATTTAATACTAACTTAATACAAATGACCACTATTATGGGGATACAAAAGACTAAACACTACCCGCTATTTATATGAATAGAAGAATCCTAGTCCTAAATATCCTAAATAAATCAGGAAACAAATCATGATAATAATTAAGTAATATAAAAACTAAACTTAGGAGATACTCTTGAAATTATAAACGGATACTAGGAGATAGGATAAACTATGAACCTCTTATATAATACCAAAGATATTCTGTAATGTTTAATATATTCTAGCAATGTCTCTAATGATTTTTAAGATTAAGCAGGGTTATTGAAAAAGAAATGGATGTGTGAGCATCGAGTGGGAGTAAAAAGCATTCTCGTTGTCAAGAACTGAAAAATAACAAAACTTAAGTTGTTCAGTGAAGAATAGTAAATGGTTAATGTATTAACACCCTCCCTCCCCACATGTATATTGGTGAAGTTCGAATAAATGAGGCATAATTCATTCAACTAATGGCATCTTATACCTTCCATGTAGATTTTGAATCCCCTGTTTTCGCTGACCTGAGCATTTCATGTAATAATCCTGGAGAAGATTTCAGAACATAGAAGTGAAATGAGATTATAAGAGCAGAATGCGATTGGTCATAATTTAAGCAATTTAGTATTAAAATTTCAAAAGGAAGAAAAACAAAATGCATAGAGAATCAATCCTTTGATCCTGGACAATATTAGAAGATTCTAACCGGGCATTACTTAAAATTTCCTGCTTAGTTACCCCCTTTAATCAATCAAATCCGTGGTTTAGCATTACACAGAGCCAGGCCGGAGCCATTTCGAGACACTAGCAGACTCAATTTTCACTTTTCTTGTAGTTTAACTAATAAAACTCCGAAACCAAACAAAAATTACAAGCGCCAAAACACAAATTAAACTAGAGTTCACTAAAATCAGAACCAATGTGTGAAGAGCAAAGTGAAGTTAATAATGCCGAATTCAAAATCAATCCATGAGCATACACTGTATAGAATTCGCTAACAACCAGAAGCAACAAAAAAAAAATCAATAATCAGAACAATCGAAGGAAAAGCAACTTACTCTCGCGACTAATTTGTTTGAGGTTTTTGTATTCGCCGCCATAAGAGGATGAATCGGAATCGGACATGGTGAAATGAAATCTAACCCTAAACCACCACCGTCGATCGATCACAAAACGAGAAGCGGGACCAAATCGGCGACGATCGGAAACCTAATTCAAGCTTCGAACAGAAAGAAACGAAATAGAATCGGTTTAATCGAATTGAATCAGTTAAAGAGGTTAGTTGAAGAAAAAGTTGAGATTACGATACGGAAATGAAAAAGGAAAATGAGGAAGAGTTAGTTTAAAGAGAAGAGAATGGTAATTACCGGTAGTTGAAGGAAGCATGACGTGTTGAAAGGTAATAATGGTTGAAGAAATTTCCCAGAAGCGTAGTGGACCGATTGAAGACGAGGTCCTGAGCCGGCAACCCATGTCGTTGAACCGCTAGTGGGCTCCACCCTCTAACGCCAACGCATTTCTACGTCTATCTTTTCTTAACTTTCTCTTCTCTACCTAACTTTTTTTTTACTCTGTTATTAGTTTTAGGTTTTTTTTTTATTTAATTTGTATTTTCTTTCTAGAAAAATAACATTTTAAATTGAAAATGAAAGTTATTTTTTAAATGGTGGAGTGGATTGACGAAAATTCAGCAAAACGTGTTTTTCAATAATTTTTAGAAGATTCGTAAAATTAAAAAATTAAAAATTAAATGAAATAAATTATTAAAAAAACAATTATGGTAAACGTAGTAAGATTCATAAAATATGCATGGTGCCTTGAAATTAATTTTTGAATAAATAAGTCAATGCACGTGAATCAATAATTTTCATTTTCATTTTTAAATTACTTATACTAAATATATTTATAGATGAATTCAAAATTCATTTTGATGTCAATTGTTTTGATAGCATAAAATCAGCTGTATTTCTTTTTACAAGAGAATTATTTGTATTTATATTACTATAAATAAATATGATGTTCCACATTTATTTATATTGGTCATGTAGAGAGTAAGAGGGTGTTCGGACACTTCTAATATAATTTGTAGATCGTCATGTTGACAAGGTCATTGTATTATGAAGTCGACTTGGCTTTAAATTTGAAAATTGACTCAGCCTTAAGTCAAGCAACGAATTTGGATAGAAAGAATACAATAGAAAATATATGCGAAAGTTTTGAATTCTTTTCAGTTTTTCATGTTTCTTGTATTTCGTTGTAGTTCTTGTTGTTATCTTTCTTCAAATCTTATATCTCTTATATATAGGCAACAAAAGAGTCGTTCGAAGATGACTTTCACAAGTGTCTTTGCTGAGAAGCAGTTCCAAGAGAGAGACGTTGGAAGTTGATACTGTGAAGATCTTCATCTTCTGAGTAAAAGTTTTATCCTTGGCATCTTTCTCAAACATGGTGTCCACATGGATGTTGGGGTAGACTAAAGAGGTCGTGTCAAAATACATTGAGCCTTGCACTAGGAAACATCAATTGACTTTCTTCATAATCTGACTTTTGATAAGATAGAACTGTTTTACACACAGAGTACAGACCAGAGACACAATACTTTATTTTTAAGGTCATCATAATCTAAGCTGTCATCAGCAGCTGAGATTCCAAGTGTCGAGTCATCAAATTCTGATCCTTCAGAATTTGAGTCATTTGCTTCTCTTCATAAGTTATTTAACATGGTCATAACCAAGTTAATTTTGAACTTATGATCATGCACACTTAAACAAATGTTAATAATACTCAATTGTTCTTTAAGTACTTTATTATCATCAAAACTCAAGGAGTAAGAATAGATTTTGTTCCAACATGTTAGTTCTCTTGTTTTAGGATTGACTTAATTTTTGTAAAACAAATAATAGCAGCAATAATGTAATGTAGAATAGGATGTATAAACCTGCTAAGAAGAACAAGTACAACAAGAAGTCCTATTACAATGTCAGAACGTGTTGTGTTGAACTTTTTCAACAACTTGAATAACATGTCGAAGAATATGTCTTGACATCGCGCTTGTTGAGCTTGATTAATGAGATTCAGTTTGTTCTTAACATAAGCAGAATATTCAGGAGAATATTATGCATCATATGTGGCGCATATTTAAAGGTCTAGAAAATTCAATCAAAACTCAAGGAGAATGAAGACTTTCTAAATAAGGAGATTATTTAGGAAAGAAAAGATTGAAGATCTTTCTTGGGGCAGAAGTTTCTGCAATTTGTTACAGCTGATTTGTTGTGATTAAAGGCCCAAAATCAGTTGGGTAACAGGTTATAAATAGAAGGATTTATAACCTAGAAAAGATACGACTCAAGATGTATAAGTCTAGGGTTTTATCAAGGTAAACCTCTCGGGTTGTGGGAAGGTTACCATGTTCACCTCGAAGCCTATAGGTAAGAGGTGTATTGTTTTTGGAGGAAGCTTTGAAGCAACTCCAGGATGTGTTCTTAGTTAGGAGAAAAGCTAACAAACAGTGGAGTTTGACTTAGAAACTTAGCTAGGTTGTCATAGAAGTATATCTTCCAAACTGTTTATCTGTATGATCAGAATATTGGTGAAGAGTCGTTTATGCAGTGACTGAGGTGTTGACTATTATACATCATTATGATGATTGGAAGTGGGATGGGAATATTCCTTATCTAGGGAGGACCTAGGTAGAAGGGTCATTGGGTAGTGATTAAGTGCGTAGATCGTCAATGGGTGTGTTGGATGTAGGGTCTGCAAATTGATACTACTGATAGTGGACTTCATTCTTGGATTGGTAGCCCTCATAGTAGGTGTTGTTATACACTGAACTGGGTAAACAATTCTGGTGTATTCTTTATCTTTTCAGTATTGTTTTATCTTGCATGTGTGTTTATTTAAGATCAGATGTCTCGACATCCTTGTAGGACATTTGAGTCTGATGTGCCAGAATTTCAATTGGTATCAGAGCAGGCATCATGTTCTGCTCTGGGTCAGATCCTGGGAAGATACTTTATGGTCATGGGCAAGGAAGAAAGTATTTACTGAAAAAAGGTATGAACTTGGACAATTCATACTATTGTATGGATGATATCTTGGCAAGGATCATTGGTTATATATGATGGGTAGTGTTCCTGGGTGTTGGCATCAGGCCTGCAGCTTAGTGAGAAGTTGTTGTTTTTTAGGGTTTATTTTTTCCTAGGTTGCCATGCTTGTACTTGGATAGTGGTGTGTCTGAATATTGTTGAGGAGTTCGTTATATTTCGCTGCATATAACCCTGAAAGTATGAGAAGGATACTAGGATTGTTACCCTCAACATAATATATGTTGACATTTTCAGCCGTATTAAAAGTGTCAAAGATACTTGAGATTTTCCTCAAGTCCACTCATAAAGACATTTATCAATAAAGTTGATGAGAATCAATTGATCAATGATGATCATATACATTTATATATTGACCTTAAAGATTATCAAGGATGGTGTGTTCCAAGAAAAAGGAACTGATGTTCTATGGGATGTTAGAACATTACTTCAGCAGGTATGCAACTACCAGTTAAAGAATAAATGCTTTGGGTGCTGGAAAAAAATATTATGAATAATTTTTGTTTGGAACCTACTCCTGATCGGGAAAGAGGCATCTAGTTTGTGCAGGTTAATTAGGACACAATCAATAGTTTATCTACTCCATGTGTCAGGCTTATGGGAGTATAGAGGTTGAGCTTCATGCTCTTGAGAAGAACTCATAAAGGAATATCCACAAGACCCTTTATGTATATGAGATGAGCTCGTATCCGAAAGATCCTTCTGATCAAAGGAACCAAATTCATGGAATCCTGTTTGTGACCATAGAACATATTATGTTTGAAGAGGAGTATTGTGATCCAACCACAGTGTTTGATGCTCCTGAGTATTATTTTGATTGCCCTTGAGGAAGAGAATTTGTAATTCTCTTTGTGTACCCTCAGGAGTTGTTAAAAAAGATCCTCTTGTCAAGGGTTGATATGATGTCAGACAAAATGTCATGATATCTTTGAAGATATTAAAATTTGAAGGGCATTGTTTTTGAAGAATCAATGGAAGCAGATGCTTTGAAAAGTCTTTTTTTGTGTCATGCCTAGCAGAGTCTGTTCCAGAGACCTAATAGGGGGAATTTCCTCTGTAGGTATAGACAATGGCATCCATCATCTCAAAGTCAGACATGAGGTCTAAAGAAAAGCTTATTGAGATGTGGCTCATGCAATCCCCTACATATGTTGGTAGTCTGATCCTAAAGATTAATCAGTTGTTGTTGGTTTGTTTCCTTGTGTTAACCCCTACAAGAGTTGATTATAAGTTACTATGGAAGTTATCCCCAGAATCATAGTAAAAATGGATGATGTCGTATCTGATGTCGGGACATCATTTCTAGGTGTGTGCTCCCTCTAAAAAGGAAGTTGTTGTGTAGATCATGAGGTGAGTATTGTTGTTCGCTAGTGAAGTTCAAAGTTGGAATTTTCGATTATGATGGAGCTGAAGACCAGTCTCTGACCAAGTCTAGAATGTTTAAAGGATCCTCTTGTGTTAAAGAATGAAGAAGAAGGATGTCTGTTCAAGTGCTCTAACATTTGTTGAAAAGGAGTATCATCTGCAGTTGTGTGTGTGGGCAAGTTTTTCCTCTGATGACAAATATCTTGTCGGAAGCTAAGTATAAGTTTGATCTTGTGAAGATGTGCATGTTACTGATGATAAAGACCTTGTCAGGAGTTGAGTACTTATCTGAGGTATGGATGTAAATCTACTATCTGAACTGATGATTCAGATATTGTTGAGAGTTTATTTCTCTCTATGGTGATCAAGTGGATGTATCAACCTGAATGAGTTGCAGAAGATGTAATTTTTTATGATCTTATCCTAAAAAGACTACCAAGCTTAATAATCTCTTTGGTTGATAAATCAAGAACTAAATTATTGAAGAAAGGTTTATGTCCTAAATGATGTTGTAACATCATTTTTTTCGTAAAGGAAGGTTTGGGATTATGATTATGGAAGATTAAGGATCAACATGGTTGTCAAAAGAAGGAGTTATGACTTTATGGATTAGAAGATGCAGATCTTGATCTTGTCTTTAGTAGTATGCTTGGTGAC